TCGACGTGTCAAGTGCAAGTAACTGCTTTTCAATAGTCAGTACTGAAGATTCAACGCGCTTTAATCCAACTTGCTCGTGTTCGCCTTCTCTCCTTCAAGAACGGTATATATCGGTTTTAAGAAAAATTGGAGGTCAAACTCACTCTCCAAATCATCGTCGACCATCTCGTCAGTAATTTCTTCCAAATTAGAATCCTCTTCTTCTGTGTGACTTGAGCCAAGGGAGTACTCAGAAGAATCAAAAGAAAAGACGTCTTGAAAGTCTTCGTCGTGACTTAAGTCGTCCATAAACATGTCAAAGTTAAACTCGTCGTGTGCAGTTTTGTGGCTCAAAACATTTACAATGAAAAAAATCGTCAAAAGTCCCATCTTCAACAATTATTGATAATACAAAAACAGTTCTTTTCCTGTGTTTTAATCACTATTAATTAACGTGCTTTTTCTAAAATTTCATTTTTAAATTAACGAATCATTTTTATTTATTTTCTATCTGATTTATCTTTTTATTTTAGCGAGTTGTTTCATTACTCCACAAATAATTAACACGTTAATTAAATATCATGTTAAATACAAACAGCTTGTAAATTAATATTCCATAGTACTAGTTATTTTATGATTATTTTATAATAAAATTGCCATCCATTTTTATTATTATATTTATTATACATTATATTATATAATGTATAATATAATATAATATAATATAATATAATATAATATAATACATTTTTATTATGTATAATAATAATAATATAATGTATTATATAATAATAATATAATAGTATTATATTATATTATATAAAGAAACGAATAACAGACCAACAGCACTCGAAAGACAAAAGTTGTTTATAAGAAAGGGATGAACCCGTCCGACGTGTCGTTTTTGTTTTTAATTGCTTTATAAATGATAGGAGCGAGGATAGCCAAGACGATGATGACCATCACAATAGCGACGACGATAAGACCGATACACAAGAACTTTGAACTTGCTTTAGCGTCTTCGTGTGCCTTGACCAAATCTTGAGTTCCTTGTTTCACATATTCTAAAGCGGTCTCACAGTTTTCTTCGATTTTGTTGATGACTTCGCCTTGACGACTGACTAATATAGAAAGGTCTTCGAACATCTGTCTGAGCTCAGCGATGGCGCCGACTAAGATCAAAATGTCGTTGTGCTTTGCAGTGATGTAGGCTAAGGCTTGTTTGGCGGCTTGGTCCAATTCTTTGTCCTTTTCAGTCATCACGCCCGTCATAAAGGCATTGTCATTACTCTCGATGGCTTCTTTGATCTCTTCTTCCTTCACATTAGGGTTCACGATCTTCATCTGTCGAGCGACTTTCTCCTCGGAAATGACGCGATTCTTCTCTTGAATGTCTCGATACTCTTTAGATAATTTAATTAACTTGGAACATAAGACGTCGACGTGATTCTTTCTTATACGTTGAATAGTAGAAGAGATGCGATTCTCATTCACAAGTTTGGTGTTTTCATCACGTAAGAGGGATAACCTCGTCTGAGAGTCTTTGATAAATTTGTTGGCATCAGATACTAAACTTTTCAAATTATCACCATTCGACTCATCTTCATTCCCGGCTTTTAATTGTTCGGTTTGCGTGCGGAACTGCTCAATTATGTTTTGCACACCTTGCAACTGCCTTCGAACTTCCTCAACATTCTATTGTATTAATAATCAAAACTATTGAGTAGATAATAAAGACAAACCAAGAGAAAATTCCGCAAATTGGGTTCTTGCATGATTATGCCCTCTTCAGGCACAGTTGACTTTGGGATGTCGACTTCTTTCTTTGGCATTTACTTATCCTTATTTTGCGTTTTTTAGTTCGATTGAATGGGGAAGATAACTTTGAAACAGTCCTATTTATAGTATTTGTAGGTGTGTTTATTAATTATGACTTGGTATATTATTACTCTATTATTTCGGGAGGTAATCTATTGGTATTATTATTGTTATTATTATTTGACTCGAATTATAATTATAAATTATTAAATATAGTATTTTTTAATAGATTATACTATATTTAAAAAAAATAGAAAAATGGTTCATTCAGTAACTGGATGAATGGATTGTATGAAGAAGTTTTGAGAAACAATTAATACACAGTAATTTTTATTATAATTCATTAATTTTGGATATTATAATAATATAACTTATTTGTTATACAAATAACAAAAATCCCAAAAGTGATAACAGTTTTGCATTTTTCTTTAATAAAGATAAAGTAATTATTTCTTTACACTTTTAAGTTTTTATTCCATAAAATAATGAGGTTTGTTTTGAAGTTATTATTTATTATTAGTAACAACTTAATATTAAATTCTATTATTTAATTTGTATTTGGCAATTTGATAAAATCAAAATCAATTTGTTTTTTTCTTGTTTTTTTTTGTTAGTAATTTAATATATAAAATTATTAGTATATAATATAATTAATTTATCAAAATACCATACTACTAATTTTGCTCTGACCAAACCAAAAAAGTGTTTTTTTTAATTTGACTTAATCATTTTATAGTTTATTTATAATTTCATAAATTAAAAAATAATTTACCAGTTTTATTAGTAGTTATTAGTATATATTTACTATACTATATATTAGATAACGAATAGTACATAATCTATGAAATAATAACTAGAAAATAATTAGTTTACATTACTATCAAAATACAATTTGTGGATGACCCCATTTCTATCTCCAACAGCCAAATATTCCTGATTAAAGAGGATGCATTCTGCATTAGAAATTTGTGGCACAAGAAGGCTCTGTCTCCCAAACCAATTTTGGTAACACTCAAAAGACGACACGTTTTCACAGAGGACACTAAAACGGTGGCACCCCATACAAATTTGTTTGATTCTTTTAGTCCCGACTATTCGTTCAAAATAGGTGTCTGGGTTTCTTTGGTCGAACATTACTATTTTACCGGACTTGTCTCCTGCGATCAAGTAGTCTCCAAAGGAGTCAAAAGTCACAAATGCCTCAGAGAATGGTTTGGTCTGTAACACTATTTTTGGTGATCTTTTGTCGTACCACGTCACGTTCCCGCTTTCCGTCAACGTCACTATATTCCCGTTATCCGTCTCATTAATGTATGTAAGAGGAGTTCTGTCTGGTCGATAGATGTTCTCCATTTTCTCTGCTTCTATGTTATACAAATACCCTTCGCTGACATTCAGTCCAACCATCTTTCTCTCTGATATGAAATTGATTCCACTGAAGATCGGAATTCTCTTCGAAACGTATGCAGTGGCGGGGCGGTTATAATATCGGACATAATGATCGGCAGTTGCCACTGCGAAGTTCCGATATACCCAGTCATATCGAGTCGACAGTATTTGATCGTTTGGCTTTAATATCCCAAAGACAGACATGTCACTGTTAAGCTTGTGGATACTATTCCCGCTCCTTGAGACCGCTAAGATCGACCGCCCCATTGAAAACTGAATTTGGTCGATCGAGCAAATCGTCAATTTAAGTGTCTCGTGCTTGATCCCACGCATCATCCGCCAATTCTTCCGAACACGCCACGCATTCACTGTGGCCTTTTCCAAATTTTGGATGTCGGAGATCTCATAAGTAAACACTTTCTGTGGTGTTCTAAAGAAGGACTTGGGGTCAAAATGGGTGGTGTAGATTTGCTTATAAATCGATGGATTTCGTGTGACAAAGCCGTAGAGGACTTTACACGTGTGTTTTACAGCTATAATAGCTTCCAGTGATAAGAACGAGAAGATAAAGATGAGAGTCTTGTCGTCGAGTAAAGTGAACGAGTCTTTACGGTGTTCCATCTGTTCATTACAACACTTTAACACACTCTTTGATGTGAAATTTGGGCTTTTTGTGCTTTCAAATGCCTTTTTGGGGGTATTCAAATTGTAATACCCCGACCGGTAATTATAACACAAGCGCTCGGATAACAATTTGGTCACAAAGCATTTTTGAAACAACTGGAAGTTATATAAGAACTGGTCTTGAAAGGGATACGGGACTCCCGGGTGTATGCCAAAGTCCAATGAAATGCGCGACAAAAGGAGACAGACGTTGAACATTAATATATTGTTCTTCGCCTGTTTTTCCGTCTGAAGGCGATGGGAGGGAATACACAAGTGGGTCACCGTGTCGATCGTCGTTTCGTTCCTCCCAAATAAGACTAAATCCCCCGAGAGCATATCATAGAATTTGTCGTGGTCACTCTTCGTCCCAAATTTGCACTCCGGGTCGGTCCCACTTGATCCGACGACAAAAAGGCCATATTCGACAACAACACTGCCGTACACAAAGTCCGACGCTCCCATGAAATTTCGTGTTTCGCCGTGGACGTAATGCAGTTTCTTCGACTTTCGAATTTCCTTGAAAACAGGGTAGTTGAAGTTCTGATTGATAGTAGAGGAGTACATACTGATGACGTCCGAAATGTTCTTCTTGTGATACCCAACACGTCCTCTGACAAAGAGTTCTGTGTAGTCTTCATTAGCGAATATTGAGACTTTTTCGTTGTGGATGACGAGTTTAGGGTAGATCACGGTGTTTGTGAGGACGCCCAGAAACTCGTGGAATTTGTCCCAAATAAAAATGGACTCGTCGTCTCCGTTCAGTCTGTCATTCATTTCTTCGAAGAAAAATGCGAAGTCGGAGACCAAGAAGTCTTCAATAGAAATGTAGTTCTCAATTTTCCTCACATTAGTGTCTATAGTGTATTTCACACCGGGACCATTCTGTTCACATAAGTGAATGTGCGAGATCCAAGGGCCATTAGTATATCCCGTCTGTGAGAAGATACAACTCCGTTTGTATTTCTTTAAGACGTACCACGACCGAAGGCGTTCACAAATACCAAGAGCATCACTTGCAGCATCCAAGTCGACTTCATTCTCAGTCACTTTATGAAACCGTTTGACAAGAAACATCATCGAAAGGACATTCTTGGGAATCAACATCAATTGCGAGACCTTCTCGAAATTTTGGGGAAGAAGTGCTGTGAGACGAAGAGTGAAACTCTGCGTGTCTTCTTTGGTGTAGATCTGAAAGTACTTTGGTGGCGGCGTTAAACATGATTCACGTTTGACCCACCCCTTCTGCGTGACGTCTAAGTCGTTTAACAAGGACTCGATGACAGGCGCGTTCATCTTCTCCACGTCTTCTTGTGTCGCCGGAAATGTGCTTGACATGATGGAATCAATAACTCCTGGTTCTAAGTTTCTTCACAACTCCAATTTGCATCTGCTTCTTACATATAGTTTTAATATTGTTATTATACTATTAAGATCACGGTATGGCGTTTGAGACTTGGCATTACGACGGTTTTTATCATATTGTTTGTTATCAAAAGGTTAGAGCATTATTCATTAGTATATTTATGAATACGATACTATTAATATATAATACAGTTTTTACTTTTCAAGTGTGGTTAAATAGTGAGAAATATGTCCTGCACATTTCTTCAATGGAATAATTAATTGGTAGAATAATAGAACACCAATTTTCATTTGACTATTAATAGATTTTGTGAAGACAGTTATATAATTGGAATTACCCCAATTTAAAAATCCGTTCATATGTCGTAATAGATCGGGAATAAAGCGAAATAAATATATAATTATAAATATATAATTATAATGGTTGTCTTTGTTTTATTAAAAAAATGATTAAAAATACTATATAATTTTAGTAATTAATAATATGTTTAGAATTGTTATTCGAATTTACACATTTTGTTATTTTTTAGCTTAGTTGTTAATAGTAAAATTAATTAATATTATAATTATAAATACAACGATTATATTCCAACTTTTTTAATGGCAAAATTTATTCGGAGTTTAATACGTGGGTGTTATTTTTTAAAACAAGAATAGAAATTAATAATAATGAGTGATTAATTCAAACATTATGACATTGAAATAAATTCATTACAATTTGGTCATTCAAAAAATAATTATAAAATCTAAAAATAAATTTTAAAATGAAATTCTTTTTCGATTTTTGTTAATTGCAGTTTTGGGATTACTATTATAAATTATGAAGTGACTATGCCCAAAATTGAAACGAATAATGCATCTTTTTTCAAATATTTGGAAATTGGTTTCCAAGTAAAAATATATTGATTTTAAATTGGTTTGTTTTTGTTTTGACAATTTGAACCCCAATAATTAATATTTGTTTTTTTTTATAATAAATTTTTTGGACATAAAAGCTAATAATTAACCATAACAATTATTTCAGTTATCGTTCAATTTTATTTATTTTATTTAAAACAATTTGTAAAATAAAAAATAAATATTATTATTAACTTTAATAATAAAATATCATTAAAAAATAACAAATTATACCATTTTTAATCGTGTTTAGTTTGAATAAAAATATTACAGATGCAAGAAAAAGCGGTTGTCATAGAAAAAGTAGTTGTCACGAGTATAAAAAAGTATTTTTATATATTCATTTTTAATTATTATAAATTGTTAGTTGTTTAACAAGCAAATTTACGGGAAAATCGTGGTAGTTTGGATTGATTTTTCAGAAAGTGGTTGTCAAAAGGATGAAAAATTTAAAATTTTCTATTTTTTATTAAAAAACAGAAAAACCACAAAAAGATTTTACTCATTTTCATAATCAAAATTGACTGCACCTTGTCATCATGATATAAAATGAACTGATGTTGGGGATGTGCAATTTATTACGAATAAGTTGAGGATGCGTAAATCAAACAAGCAATAATCACGATTATCAAGTTTGTGTATTTATAACGTTGAAAGCAAATAATTAATCATAAGGCATTCATTGATAAACAACGTGTAATATGACGTTATATTACAAATATGACATTTCTTATGAAAGCTGTTATTGTGTTCAAATTAACCAAACGTTGTGTGCTGATTATTGTTTTTATTGTCTTTATCTTTTACTGTTGTTGGGTTCACCAAAAAACACAAATATACATCATTTAATAAGTCTTTTTCAAATACATAATTTTTATTATTGTTAAAAGTTTAAAATATTAACAATATTAACATTTGTTTAATGCCTTGAATAATAGCATAAAACAAATTATTTAATATATATTTCATTTGATAATCGACTTACTCAATACACTGGGAAAATTTTTGAAAAATAATCATTTTTTTTGTTTTTAATAACATTATTTTCATGACAACCACTTTTTCCATGACAACCAATAATTCTTCTATCTGTACAGATAGTGGAAAAACCGGGGACCAGACTAATTTTAGCTATTGAATATTAAGCGGATTTTATACAATGAAACGGGCAAATATATAAATAAATGTGTAATTTTCTTATTATTTGGGCTTAAAAACAGTTATTTTTCGGGATAAAAAATGAATGTGTTGTATAAAGTTTGAATAAGCAACAGCTTAATGTGAGTTATAATAGTAAGTTTATTATTATTTATTGTTATTAAATTATAAAATATTATTCTTTTGTTCAACCTTGTTTAACTTCAACACAACCATTCAATTAAATCGTTCATCCATTTTTTCAAAGAAGATGTCGTAGTCTTCTCTATTCATTCGGTTGATTTGATAAGTCACTTTTCGTTCAGAATTAAAAGTGACTCACGCGGTTTATAAAAATAAAAAAATAATAAATAAATTATTGGAATGTTAGACATTCAGTAATTGATTGATAATTATTAAAAGTATTCAACAACGGGAGATAAATCAATATAAAAAACAAACTTTACCTTGGCTCGGCTGGGTATTAACAAATTAACAAACTCTGAATGATTAATTAAGAGTTTCATATTTCATAGTTTTTTCTATTTTATTTAAAAAACAGTGTGTCTATTAATAGTTGGTCCCTGGTTTTTGAAAATAAACCAACATATCCTCCAAAAACCCGATTATTTGTTTATTTTTCTCTTACAAGAAAACATTATACCAAAAATAAAACAGCTTAATTTAGTCTGGTCCCTGGTTTATGATTTGGTCTTTGGTTTTTCCTGTATCTGTACAATAATTATTAATTGATTTTTTTAAAAATATCTTAATGTTTAAAAAACAAATAAAAAATTGGTTTTTATTGATAGTCATTAGATTAGCATAATTTGGAACATTATCTGATGTTTTTTAGACCATTAAAATGTGAATATTTTGTGATAATTTTTAAAAACCCAAAATGTTGTTTTTATTTTTTTAATTTTACTCATTTGTTTAGTTGATATCATGTTTGTAATTGATTTGTGGTTATTAAATAAAATAAAAGTTGGTCAACTTAATGGGTAACTCAGTGTTTATTCTCATGTTTTATTAAATAATTTTATTTATGATTTTGGTTTGTATTTAACCATTAATTCTAGAGTTATGATTGTCTATAAACAATGATTATTTAAACAATAAAATAAATACTTTATCGTCATAAAAAATGTTTTTAACTTTGTTACTGTGTTGTTTTATTTTTTGTGTTTTGGCAAGTTTTGTTTTATGACAACTTGAATAATGATACAAATCTTATATATCAATCACGGTACAAATTCGGGTTTTATACGTAAAGTGCTGTTTATATTTTCACTGATAAGTGCTTGTTTTTTTTTAAAAATTTTACAAAAAAACATAAATGATAAAAAATAAGGTTCATATCAGCTTTGCACGTCTATTGTTATTGTTTAGTCCTTGAACAAACAATGTTCAGGACAGTTTTTTGTATGTGTTGATATTGAAATAATTTTATATTATTTACTTTCGATAAAAACATCAAAAAACGATCTTTGAAAAAAATAACAAGTTCATACTTCAAAATTATGATTATGTAGTTTAAATAATTAAGTGCCACATTAGTGATGCTAAACACTTGTTTCTTGATGAGTCCCCGTTGTTCAACTCAACGATATAAACGTTGAGTAGATATGGTGGTATCGATAGTGTTCTATTTTTATGAACTTTGTTCAAAAAACACATTTCGAAAAATATTAGACACTGTTATAAACTATATAAACTATACCGAACTATACTTGCCAATAACAATAATTACATAATAACAGAAAACAATTTATAAAAAATGATAATCTTAACAACATATAAATTTTCAAAGAATTTAATTTCGTGAAAAATAACAAAAAAATACATCAAGAACGGTTTAAAGCTTCATTTGGAAAAAAAACAAAAAAGAATCAGTTTATAAAATCAAAGTGAAAAATGAAATTTCTTCGAGTAAAATTATTTTTTAAAAAATAAATTCTATTTTAGGAAGTGTACGAGTATTTTCTGGTGTAGAGTTGGTGGAAAAAAGTCCGGCTAGATAAGATAAACTATTTTTTATAATAAACAACTATTTATATTTTGTTTCTTTTTTTATTATTATTAAAATTCAAATTACAAACGAGCCGAACGAACAATTCAATTAAGATATCGAGAC